TAGGAAAACTTGCAAATTGGGAAATTGAATTCCTCGTGAGCTTTCGTTTGAGATCCGAACCAATCATTCCACCATCTGTAATTCTTTTAATCAGGAATGCCAAATTTTAATTTTAGTATCGCATTGTTCCAGATGATGAAAAATGACTTTTGCATATCAACAGAAAACGAAAAAAAAAAACAGCAATTATCACAGAATGAGGAACCAGTGTCAACCTGAAAAGCCAGGACTCCTTTCACAGAAATACTTACTTTGTGTCTGGGGGAATATGAAAATTGTCGTCTATTACGATCTAGTGGAACCTGATAGGATCATCACGTCTTATGTTTATTGCCAACAACTTTATCAGATGTGAAATTTTTTCTTACTTTGGTGAACAAAAATGATGTTCTTCTTCAGCATGATACTTCAAGGGCACACTCTACAAAATAAACCTAAGAAATAAAAAGATCGTGAGAATGGGAGGTTCTTCTATAGCCTCCATACTCACCAGATTTAACATCTACATATTTTCATTTACGGCAAATGTTATTAAAAGCGACAAACATATTGTGACGATTTATTTTATTGATCGACTTTTCCAAATTTCAAATAATCCCGTAACGAAGATGACCGATTTCCTAAATTGATTTGGCAGACGTCACAGGATAGGTCCGGAGTGGATTTAATCGTTGGTTGGGTTTGATGAACGTGTTGATTCATCGCGGTCACTGTGATGGGTTGATTCGTGGTAGGGTTCGTTGTTTACCGAGGTGACTGCGGTAGCGCCGGGGTATTAGGTGTAACTGGTAGGCCTGGAGTGGAATGTTTCAGTTGGATTAGGTCGGATGTTTTACCATCGAAAAGGGGTCGTGGTGGTGACTGCGAGGGTATGCCTGTTGCGAGTCAGACTGCCGAGTTAACGGCGGTGGCAACGAGGATAGGTCCTGAAGCTGATTGGTGACGACGTCGAGGTGTTATAAATCAAGGCGGTTGGCGTGAGGAGACTGGCGGTGTCGAAACTGGATTGTTGGGCGCATTTCACGTGTGAAGAGTCATGTGAGATTAGTGGAGCCTGGGAGTGATAACGGTTGTGCTGAGATAAGCGGAAATGGAGGTGACGGCGACAGCGCCCAGCATGTCGACAGGTAGCCTTTCGGTCGGTAATTGTGTTTGTCGTTGCGAGTGGCCCGCTTTTAAGTAGATCTAACAGTCCCCATGGTCATCACCTTTTCTGACGGGAACGTTCGCGATTGGCCACTGTATCGCTTTCATTGCATGGACTTGCTTCGTGGACAGGGCATGATACTCGGAGCCTCTGCGCAGAAAACGTTTTTTTTTTATTTTGTGTTTGCCTTTTTGGCTTTCACATCCGGCTGACCTTCAGAAGGAAGCAGAATGAGATCTAATTGCAGCGAAGTATAACACATCCGTTAAACACTTCTTTCTTGCTTTCTTTCATTTTCCCACTGAACCAAGTAGTGTCTTTTCCCCTCTTTCCACGCGATCAAAACGAAATAGTTCATTATTTATGAGGTATTGGTAGGAGATATTAAACACTTCTTTCTTTCTTTCTTTCTTTCTTTCTTTCTTTCTTTCTTTCTACCCAAATCCTCGTCTTACGATCTTTTATTTATGGTAACTAGATTTTTGGCGATTGCCTGACTCGGTTTCTTTCGTTCGAGATTGTGCATCTGAAACATGGCGCATTTATTGCGGTCGTCAGTGCTTCTCGGTCTTTTGGCTAAGATCAAAGTGTCGCATCTCTTCTTATCAGTTTAATATGATTCTCTCTCTCTCTCTCCACTTCTATCTTCTCTTCTTTCTTTATCTTCTCACTGAAACCAAGTAGTGTCTTTTCCCCTGATTCCCCGCGATCAAAAATGGAATAGTCCATTATTTATGAGGTAATTACAGAGCGTAACGGTCGAACGAACTAACGAATGGACAGACATGCACAATTGTAATAGGATAGGATGAAATTTAATTCTGTGGGAGCTCGTAAAACCAATTAGACCAGTTCATCACCCAGAAGATGCTAAATGCTGAGAGATGAAGTCATGAGGCTGCCTTAAAGATGGGGAAAGGTAATGGAACAAAATGGCATTATATTTGGTCATAACAAAAATATGTAGCGTTTTTAAGTGATTTTCAATGACAATAATTACTTATTTTTTCACATACACTTATTGAAATATAATAGACGATATTTAGTAAAGGTGAGATTTGCAATTATCATTTTTTTCTTTCATTTGCCCGCAGAATTTCATTACAGTACGAATCCATCTACTATTAATGACACTTGTCTCGTAATACTGATAATATACAAAATGGGTGTTTTTTTTTTTAAGAAAACCTCCGAGCTATTGTCAGTGGAAGGACTTGTAGGTCATTTCACTAGTCTATACAATCAGCTTTGTCATAAACCTGAGAAACACTTTGTATTGTAAATCCTTTATTGATTAGAAGATTTGCTTGTATTTGAAATTTTTTACCATGATACTCACCCTGTACAAGGCCCAAGATCCACTCGAGGTAGAGGGTTACAGAGTAAGAGGCACACAGTTCATGGGGATATGTGGGGAAGATAACGGATGACTGTAGGCTTGAACAGGTTAAGATTGCAGTGATTGGGGAAGTATCTTCTTGAGAGTCGTTTCCAGCAGCGCTTCGTGGGAAGAAGCTATTCGAGTGGAACTTACATCTCACCAATGGAATGCGAAGAGGATGAGGATAGTTGGCTCCAATGTGTGGCCATGAAAGCAAGAACAGGTGGAACTAATGAATGTGGTTCGTTTGAACACTTTCCATGGAAATAGCTATAGAGCAGCGAGAGATTTGCAACGTTTCGTCCCTGATAAAGGGGTTGTAGGGTGGAAAATAATTTGTCACCCATTCTAAATATGAACTCAGCACGTCATTTATTAAAAATAATTTTTGCTTTATAGACCAAAAAAAAAAAAAAAAAAAAAAAACAAAAAAACAACAGTTTAGTGGTTAACAAGTGGTTCTCTCAAGTTGATTTCATTATGATTATCTTCCAAATTAAGTGTTCCATAAAAATGTTTCCATGAAATGTTTTTTTTTAAAAATCATTTCACCCAAGCAAGGCGGGAATGCCACTAGTATGCAGGCGGGTTACAAAGAGTGAAAGTAAGAAAAAAGACTGAGTATAGAGAGGATTGAGGAAAGAACAAAAGATTAATAGGATTCAAGATGACAGAAGATGACGATTGACGTTGCATTTAAATTTTTGGTGATTGTATTTATCAGGAAAGCAAGTAAACGGAAGGGAGTTCCACAGGCGGGAAGTACGAGAAAAGAAACTGTTGGAGTAGATGTGGCGTTGCATTTAACTATTTCAACAGTAAAAGGGTGAGACCTAGATGCCAATCTAATAACACGCTTAATTTCATGTCATAGCGGCACCAGGGAAAAAGGCTCGTCAGAGGAGTTGCCATGAAAATATTTGTCGAAAAGCAGAGGGAAGGCACGCCACGTTGCTGAAAAAGTGACTGAAGTCGAGATGCCACGTCAGGATCGATTACATTACAGAACATTCTTTGGATTTTGTCATGAATTTCGAAATGAATAGCAGGAGCACCAGTCCAGATATGACTAGTATTCAATGCACGGACGAATGATTTGTAAATGTGAAAGATGGATCAGTTTACAAAATGCTTATTTCAATAATAACTATAAAAAATACAAGTTTATGAGGGCAGGAATTTCTATCAGTCAGCAATTTTTATCTACGAGTGTGTATTGATTACCAATATCTCCAATCCTACAAAACGTGTTTTTGACCAGATAGAATGATGAAACTGATCAACCCTCGTAATTTTGAAGTGTAACAAGAGAAACAAGGTTATTTCATTTTAATACAAATGAAATAACCTTGTTTCTCTTGTTACACTTCAAAATTACGAGGGTTGATTGATAAGAAACGTCTCCCATCCTATAAAACAAATTTTAGACTTTTGATGGATATATTATACAAATGCCTTTGCTCATTCTGTGTTTGAAGGAGCATTTCTTCAAGTTTCTGTTGTCTAACCTTAATTTCTAAGTGCAATTCCTCAAATTTCTTTTCGTATTCTGCTTGTTCTTGTTGGAATTTCTCTTGTCTTTCTTTGTATTTCTGCTCCAATAGTAGTTGTTCCTGATGGTGTTTCATCAACACTAGCATTGCACTTTTAAATTCGTCCATTTTACTGCGGTGGTACGTAAAATTAAGAAATGAGAGGGGGAGAAATTTTTTTCTTTACCCTCTTAACCAAAAATAAGTCTGTTTGACTTGTATGATTCTTTTACTGAAAAATTTAAAAGCGGGAAAGGGGGTAAATTTTTACTTTACCCTATTAGTGAAAACAATAATTCTGTCTTTTACTGACTTGTTGGAATGGAAAAAATAACAAGGTTTACCAACCTTCTTCCCAATCAGGGAATCGAACTTGTAGAAATCCTATTGTTTTGAGGAGTTTCTCTTTTTCACTGTCAGGGTTGTAATTAACACTGGATACCCTTTTGTCGTAGAGTTTGATTAGAATTCCTTTCTTCATCACTGTTGTAGACACTGGCAAAAGTTTTTTTTTATGATTTAACGTGAAGTCCGTTTCTTCGAATCCTTCGTCGCTAAGATGTTGTGACCAAATAAATGGTTAAAGAAATAACAAAACAAGTGTTACAGATATATCATATATTAAACAGTAAGTACAACAGAAGAGTATTACACGACTAGTGAGTGTGTATCGGATGATCTATTCGAGCCCTTCTCTCCTACTAATCTTATAGTAGGCGGAAGAGTCCAGCATAGACGCTTTAGATGGAGGACACTACAACAATAATAATGGTTTTAGTGATACACGTCTTACTAATTAACCCATAGCTGTGGGAAGAAAAGGTGGATTCATACCTTTCCCGAGCGCGTAAGTGAATATAACTACCCTAACTAGAATTGGAACTCGACTCTCCGATTAACAATTTCGAGCCATTACCATTGTACCACCCGCACATCTAACCTTACAAGCGGTTATCCATGTAAGTACTGACTAGTCTCGACATTGCTTAATTTCGGTGATCGTACGGGAACCGGTGTTTCAATGTGGTACAGCCGTAAGCAGCATAATTTTTCATTTAATATGCTGATAATAACATTGAAAGGTTTATATGTGTACTACTTTACTCAGGAGATCGTAACAGTTCTTTTAAGTGCCAAGCCTTTTCAGGATGAAGGTGATCATGGCTCTCCACATCTTCCTGTCATTTGTTGCTGTAAGTAATTTTACCCTTTAACACCCTTCTTTGTCACTGTTCTGCCACCCATACTCACAAACTCGTTAAGTAAGGTACAAGCCTTATTTTCTTTTAGTGTTAAGTTCTCCAAGTTTTCTTTCTTCGTTGTGTCCCTGAAATTCCAATTCTTTCTTTCTTTTAGATTCTAAATATAAGTTTCCTTGTTGTTCCTATTTTTTAAAAGTTCAGTAGCGCAACATCTTTCTCGCACTTCATTGTCCAGCATCCCCAGCCAGTACCGGTGCTTACTACCCACGAATTCTCCAACCGGGAGGAGTCTGATTGGGGGCCCTAGACTGCTTTGGTTGAGAAACTGTAAAATATGTCTCTTAAAAATGTTCTTTAGATTCGTACAGGTTGACTGATGTACTTACATACAGGGTGTGTGTATACTTTTGTCTTCAATGTCTGTAACTCGGTCAGGGTCGGTGCAAGGGTCTCGACCCCTTCCCCCAATCTATGATACGGGGTCCCCACTCTGCTAAATCTCATTTTTCATATGGTAGTAGTCATATGAAATGTTAATTTTTATTGTAACCTAATCATGTATAATAATGGATCATATGCAATATAGGTGAACAATTCAACTAGAAAAATTGAAAATAAATATAATGTATCTAAATACAAATAAAATTAGAGACATGTCATAATAGATCATTTTATATAAAATAAATCAACAATGTTTTGCAGCAATTTTTAACATCAACTTTTTCTCTTGTTAAAAAGTTGAATAATTTAATACATTTAACATTATGTATGAAAAATAGTGAATTTTATATCGTGTTTTTTCGAGACTTAGCATGAACAAAACAAAAATTCACGGATTTCGACGAAAAAAGAAAGAACCCCAGAATGACTTCAAAATCTGCGAAAAGTTTTCATCCTTTAATAATATCAGTTGTGCTTAGATTAATTTCTCACATATATACATGTACGTAGAAAAAAAAAGCAGATGTTGATAATATAATGAGGATCGCTAAGCACTGCCCCTGGCCCTAATCATGCTGGCCACCGCGGTAGAGGGTTTCGGGTGTAGTACACACTGGCCCTGATACGAGTGTTAGAGTTATCTCCCTTGAACTTGCCACGTCAGTTCACAGAATCATTTTACCTTCGGTTAACCTTGCATACTTTCTCCAAGGTGTGTAAATTTAGGTTTGCCGTATTGAGTCGATCGTGTTCATTTTTAAACTTTTTAGGCTAAACTAGGCCTGCCAGCCACAAAAGTACCAGCCCCCTAAAATGATAATAACGAATGCATATGAAAAATTTTGCTAAAAATGAATAATTGCTTCTGAATTTTTTTTTTTTTTTTGCAAGAAATGCATTTTATTTGATGATTTTATCTTGAACCCTGTCGCCTACAATCTTCAAAAATTTAAATGCAACGTAGTCCGTCGCCATCTTCTGTCTTCCTGAATCTTGTTCATTTATTGTGCTTTCTCTTCACTAAAACTTTCTCATTCACTTCCACTCCCAGTAGCCCATTTGCGTCTTAGTGGTATTATTGCTTTCCTTAGGGTGAAATTATTAAAAAAAAAAAAAAAAAATTTTTCTTGCCTAATATTTTTTTACAAACAGTTTTATTAGCATTGGACTGAAAATGGTGGAAAATTTATTACTAATAAATAACCAAAGCAGCTGTGGAGCTATAAGGTTTACATCAACTTATTGCAACAGCTGTAGGAAGAAGAGAAGTTTTTAAGTAAAGAGGATAAAGAAACGTTTCAATACCACATAATCAAATTAACACACACATATATGTTTGTATATTAAGACCTGTCTCATTAAATCATTTAGACAAGTTAATACGATCCTCTCATAGCGACAGACAAGTTTCTTAGTATCCTTATTAAAAGAAGAAAGAAAAATACCATGTTGATGCATATTCTTTCGATATTAGCGCAATGTCGTCATCAAGGTCTTGTTTTTTTCTAAGACAAAAAATTGTTGTGCTGATCATTTTTTTAAGACAAAAACAAAATTGTTGCGTTCAGACAAAATTACTGTTTTAAGACAAAATTGTTGTGTTCAGCAGAAAATTAAAATTTTACGTGTGATGTGAAAAACGCCAAGGTAAAATTTTTACATTTTATGCTGTAGACACGAGTGCAAATGTCAAGGGAAGTAGCTAAGTTATTGAAATGTCTATATTTAAAAAAAAAAAAAAAACTATATATATATATATATATATATATATATATATATATATATATATATATATATATATATATATATATGAGGCCCAGTGTTATTAGTGATAATTAAGTTAGATGTAAACTTTTTTGAGTTTTTGGTGTTGTCAACTAATATTTGTCTTATGTTGATAGTTACATTTTGATCATTCATGATGTGTTGGTCAATTTGTGCACGAATAAATCCTCCCATTCCTGTGAAAAAAAAATGTTGTCTATGAATGCTCAGGCCCTCTGGAAGAGTGCATCTCCAACACTAATAATTAAAAAACAACATTAAATACTTACATTGAGCACAAATGCACCACACTTTCACGCTGATTGACCTATCACCTGTCGAAAATTAGTACAATCTGTGCACACATCAACCAATACATCATGAACGACCAAAATGTAACTAATGACCTAAGACAAATATTAGTTGACAACGTCAAAATACTCTAAAATGTTGATACATATATGAATAAAGACATGTTTCGTTCTCTGGGGGACTTTAATAAGGCAAATGTATAGAGTTTATTTTGCAAAAAGTATTTATATACAAGAAGAAAGATGTTATTGGCTTTTCATTTTTTTTTAATTTAAGAACGCTTATAAATATTCATCAGATTAGCCGAAAAGCCAGACCAGCTATGGACGACACGAAGTGACACAATTCAGTGTCTAACAAACGAAAGTGAGTAAGTGATGTTCTTGAGTTTTTTTTATAATGTAGATTAGTAATTAAATTAAAGCTGGGATTTGATGTGGTAAATACTGACACCAAATTAAATCGATAGCTTTACCAAGTTTGAGCATTTAGCTTTAACTATCGTGTGGAACAATTTACAGAAATACCTAATTTCCACAGGTCTATGCTTACAAACTGACTTCAAATATTTACTATTTCAAGGATAAACCCAAAAAAAGTTTATATATTTTGCATTAGATACATTGAATGGAAAATATATTCAAACTAGAGTTCTAATTATGAAACACCATATGTAAAATATTTAATTTTTTTACTGTAATTTTTTTCGATAAGTAGAAACTGTGTAAAAGATTACAAAAAAGGCTACACAATAAATAAAATTTGTCAGATCATTTCTTAGAACATAATTAATAAAAAACAAAAAAATAGATGAAAATGTAACACCATAATATTGCTGGGCACAAATTATAAGACAAAATGTTTTAAATTTGCACTATTTTATTGAAAATCCCACTAAAACTACAGCACTGTATTACATCTATAGCTAAGTAAAATGTTAAGCATTATTTCCCTTTGAAGTAAATGAAGGTCTTATTTGATGACCGAATGATTTAGTAATAATGCTCTTGTCTTGTGCTATGCATCTGGTTCATATACAATTTGTAAAGCTTCAGTAAATTATAAATATTATTATACGAAGATTGTTCCATAAGGCTTTCACTGATCACCGGAATGAAATTCCAACGCTACGATTTAGAATTTAAACTTAATCCTTAAACAAACACGTCTTATCAAAAAACGGTAACGATTTGGAAAAATATTTTGTATCGTTATTTATCATCCCAAACCCCAACTTTCAAATTGAGTGCAATGCCACGGTTCCAAAATCAACCTACTATTGTACCTGTGTCTACATTTTTTTTTATTCTTGCGTAAACTCGGACGTATATCTATCATTTTCACTCTAGTGTAAACCGGACTCATATCTTCTTTTGGGATTTTAATGTGAATTGGTATTTTGCTGACATTTTTAATCAAATGGAAATTGGACCAACGTCTGTCGATTTAACTCTGGCGTAAACCGAACCAACATCTATCTTTTTGACTTTTGTGTAAACTGAATCAATGTTTACCTTTTTGACGCTAGTGTACACCGAACCAATATTTACCTTTTTGCTCGAGTGTAAACCGGACCAATGTCTACCTTTTTAGCTCTAGTGTATTGAGGATCGTTTAAAAAGTTCTAAGCCTCACCCAGAAAGAAGATCCATAGCTGAACATTTTCCTCGTGGCAACACACTACAACTTCTTATAAAACTGGAAAAACCAATTCAGATTTTTGTCTTCATTTCTGTGCAGGTGAGGCCCATACAAATGTGAAAGGTCTGTGACAAATCTAAAAACAGTGGCCCCGAGCAGTCATAAAGTATCTATAAAAGAAAGGTATGACACCCAAGGAAATCTATGAAGATATAGCACAGACACTAACTGAGGACTCCCCTTCCTATTCAACTGTGAAAAAGTGGGCTGCAGAATTCAAACGGGACAGGGTCAGCACAGAAGATGACCCTCGGTCAGATTGTCCAAAAATCTCAACCACTGATGAACAAGTTGATGTCATTCACCGTATGGTTTTAGATGATAGACATCTTAATGTCCAGCAGCTAACTAAGTCCATGGGCATTAGTTCTCGTTCGGTCCATACTGTTTTAACTGAGATCTTGGGGATGAGCAAGCTGTTCTCAAGGTGGGTGCCAAGAATACTGACACCAGAGCAGAAGCTGAAATGGCTGACATTTCCAGGACACTTCAGCCTCGCTTCCAGCCTACTCTGAGAATTTCTACCACAGTTTAGTAATTCAAGATGAAACCTGGGTTCACCACTTCAAATCTGAATAAAAGATTTAAAGCAAACAGTGGAAACACTCTGATTCTCCA